GCCATCCCCTCCTGGCCCCTTCTGAGCCCCACCTTCATGGCGGGGCCATGTGTTTCAAGGGGTGGTTTCATACAGAACTGGACATTTTATATAAATGTTTCGATTCAACTTTGGGGAGAAAACACAAGATTACACTTAAATAAGGCTCTGGATTATACCACATATTTTAGCTAGGGACGATAAAATGGGAAACGTGATGAGCATGAAAGTCGATAACCAGAAAAAAAGTTATGGCACAAAATAAAGTGCACAAAGAAAATACGCTACATTACCCTGCAACGATGTTGGGGTATTTTTGTCGGAACCACGCGGTCAGCATCCCACCATAGGAACCGCCAAAAGATATAACGGGCAGGTCGGCGAGCTTTGGGTTGGCACACTTGAATTCAGTCAAAAACTCGGCGTAATCCGCTAGAGCCTGTTCTGCGGTCAAGTAACCAAAATGTTTTCGATCCTAGTGAAACATTGAAAACTGTAATGAGTGCGGGAGAATATAAAACTGGTAAATTTGCATGAAAAGACGCTGTAGGAGGATCCTAAACTTAGAACAATAAAGCAGGTGAGGACATTCAAGTCAAAAGGCAGTGCATAGCGTCAGAATATAGCGTCAAATAGCATAAAATAAACCATTTGCCGTTGACGCCCAGACTTTCATATCTCTAATACATTGGAGAATTTAAATACAGGTAAAAGTGCCTTAAATAGTGGGTTGCGGCGTAACCACCACGTGGACGACAAAGAAAAATAGTCTTCTGAATATATTGTAAAGCAAAACTTACAGAGAAGGACTCATTTCCAAAAGGTAGAGACGACCCATAATATCGGTGCTCCGCGAAGATTACTGCCGCGTTGAGACTTGTTGCCAATTCAAAAATGAAGCCCTAGGAGTAAATACACATTCAAATTCCAAGAATTCTTGTTATTATTGTTATTATTATTGTTATTCTTGTTCATATTAATAAGAGGTACTATTCTCCGCAAAATGCTCGATACGGCCCTCGTTACCAGTGTAAAAGAAAATTGAGGTTGCATTGTCCGAGTGATTTCTGTAGAGCAAATACGTCATATTGTACATGTCCTGCTTTGCAAACGAAAAATGATCGACCTAACTGAAAGTCGAAAAATAAAGCCAACATACATGCAATGCATGTGAATTGAGTTCATGATGAGGGATCCCGTGGAACTTTGGGAATCTTTTATTGTCAATTATGCCAGGCACTTGTATTACAAGAGAGAACAGAAAGCACAGGACTAATATAAACATCCTGCAACAATGTGACTAGCGAATTATCGAAAACCGGCAGCCCACAGACTTAACAACCCAGAGACCAATATAATAACGGTTGCATTTTTGAAAAATTGCTTATTCAAATCGTATTAGGGGCTAGGGATTTC